CCTAATTTAATGGAAATGACAACCATTTCTTTTGATCTAATGGTATAACTTCATTTGAATGTGGCTTGAAGTGAGATGGCACTCTTTTTTTGGAAGTCCTTCGCTCAATGCAATTTGATGCTTTTTTTTAAAAGCCTCGCATGGCTATAATGTTGAAAAGGAAGTGCAGCGCACGACACCTGGTAACAACGTGCCAGGTAATGAACATCCTTCATGACCGCGGTGTATTTGAAAGCCAATTTGATCCAATACAATGTCTCGTAAGGCAAAGCGGTGTGCTCCTTGCCTTTCGTCTTTTGGTGTTGACCTAGGACTACAGGACTAGGATTTCAATTAACCCATACTGATCCTAAGACCACATCATTTTCTTCAAGGTCGCCATATTATGATAATCTTTGAGAAGGAAGTAGTAATACAGCAGATCTTGCTTCTCCCTAATTCTTCATGTTGCCAGGTGCCAGTGATGTAGAGAGGTTCCTACTCAGTGAAAAAGCTAATATCCCTTGACCAAACAACCAGCTTCCCTTTGAAACAACGTATATTGTCATCCTTTCCTTTACATTCAGATTTTTTATCGTTGCGGGCACTCTTGCAATCATTTCTTCCGATAGCAATTCGAGAGAGCGCCAAAATGAAGCTACAGTAAAGGGGCGATGACGTGGGTCCCGCAACGAACAAGATTCAAACAGTGGGCGCTTGCCGAAAACTCGCCCGGCATTTTTTCAGGGTGTAGGTTCAGGCGGCAGTTTTTTTTTGTATGAGGTTTTCATAACGACTATGTTTCTTGAACTCACCAGCTTTTATTATCACAGCAAGATGTGTAATGAGTCTCCCATATTACACGCGTAATGACGAATTCGCTCCCTTTAGGAAGTACTTGCGTTGCAAATTTCACAGGATGGTAGATTCATGGGAAAAAGTAGCGGGGAAGAGCCTCGCCTTCGTCTCCGCTCCAGTGTCCAACTGACCAATTACTCTTCCACTGCAACTTTTCGCATGAAGTCACAATCTCATTTACTCCAGTGCTATTCCCCTCTTCAGGTTTGAACTGATAACAATTTCAGGCCTCTTTTGCTGCCGACGTAGCCATTAAGACCAGATGGTAGTCCGTTCCCTAAAGATACAAATCACGTCAAGAATGCTTTCTGCGGTTTCTCCCTTTTATGAACCTGTGAATCTGAAGGATAGCCTAAGGAGCGCTGTCGGATCGAAACATATCAACACTGGGCTTAAGAAGGGCCGCCAAAATCGGCTTAGCCGAAGTACACACCTAAGGCGGACCAGTTGTTGAGCGTTATGAAAGCTGTACAGGTAGCACCATTTGCATCGAGGCCCACACCTGGGAACGTGGAAGGCGGTCTTTTGGCGCAGCCGCGCCCATTCAACGTGGTTCTTGAGCTGGATGGCTCGTTCACGCAATTCACCTTCCTTAACATGCTAATTAGTTAACCCACTGCCCATCCAGCTGATGCACGCCCGATCGATAGTCGCATCTCAAAATGTAGGAGACTCTCCGGCGCGTGTCGCATTGTCACGTGCGCGGCTCTTAGCCCGTTGCCAAGAATCGTAGATACTCATTGATTGAACTTATTTTACTACTGATTGCTTAAATGATACATGTGTAGCACTTTTTTCCGAGTTCTACGAGTCTATTAATCCTTAATGTTGTTGACGATGTTATGAGATTGACGGCTTGGGAGTTTGTTTATTTCCGTTAGCTCATCACACTTATAGACACCTTCAGCAGTCGAATGTCCTATTGGTAGGGCATAGCCGATCTACTCATGCCGTAGAGGGTATTTTTTAACCATTGTATAGGCTGAAATTTTTACAGAATGCCAGCAGTTGAGTAGACCAAAAACATGTTTTCTTTTAGCAAGAACGGATCCCGTCAGAACATGTTTACCGCCTTTTTGAATCATGAGAACAGTACAGGAGTGAAAGCTACAGCGATCGCAACAGTTACGGGTGAGGAAATCGCTTGATCCGTATGTGTTAGGGCAAGTGGCCTTCCTATTTCCAAAGTGGAGATAGAGGGTTTACAACTCTCCAGTTCGTAAAAAACTGTGACACTCGAAAACGTTAAAAATAGAAATGTTAGGCGGTATCTACTCTGTTCCTGGTGTGGTGGTTGAATATGAGTTAAATTTAGTACGAAAAACGGGTCTTTGCTACTAGATATTATATAAAAATAGACATTCTTAGCAGTTGACGTACAAGAATACAGAAAGTATAGCGAGGGGCTCTGCTGGGAAATGAGCCGACTGGAGACGAATTCGCGACACATTTGTCAATGGGCCAAGAGCCGGGTACACGAAAAGTGCCGCGTGATTCGCCTCTATTTTTGATGAGATTCCGACGCCACCACTGTCAGGACCTACTTAGGGTATGGGTACGTTCAATTCTGGATGGACGCGGCAAACTGCGCGGCGGAATTCATGCTGATCTAAACGACTCTGGCGCCTATCATTGAGGCACAGGTGCAAAGTAGATTGGAAAAGTAGGGCTAGCTGATGCTTCTTATTTACCATACCTCAAACTTGTGCCCCAGTGATAGGCGCCAAAGTCGTTTCAATCACCACGAATTTTGCCGCGCAGTTTGCCGCGTCCTTCCAGAATTGGGTGAATGTTCCGTCCCCCACATACTTTTACTCTGTTCTATTTACATCGATTAGCATGGTCAGCAGGTTGAAACGCCTGGACGAGCTTTCCAGCTTGAAAACCGCGTCAGATCCAACGGGTGCGCTTCGTTCCGTTCCGAGTTGCGCTTCCGTCGCAACTAGATCACACCGCAGCCGTCGCACGCGGCGGGTCAGCCCGCGATAGTTGACGGACGTCGCCAGTTGTCAGCGGGCTTAAGATTTGCGCTTGATCCACGGCAGTCAGTTTAAAGAGAAGGTAACGCAGAAAAATGCAAATCATTCGCTCCACTACTGTAATGCCATCTCAAGACCTCATCGTCAATGTGGTGCACCGCGCGCAACGATGTGGTGCACCGCGCGCGAAGTGGGCGGGATGATCTACTTCCGACTGATGCGCGCAACGGACGTTATACGTCGCAACTGGGTCACCCCGCCCGCTTCGGATCGCATCTAAAAATATAGGGGTCTCCGTCGCGTGTCACGAGCGATTCTCATGGCCCATAGCCGAAATCCTTGATACTGTGCAAAATACTCCTTAGTCGAACTTATTTCGCTACCGTTTGCTTAAATAATACTTATGTTGCACTTTATTCTGAGTTCCAAACGTTTAAATATTATTCCCTAATGTTTTGTTGATGGTGTTACGCACTCGGCTCTTACTGTAATCCGGCACGGCATAACCCCATGTTAATACGTAAATTCTCACCCGTCACATATACGACGCATCGAAAAGGGGCCTTGGGTAAGGACACGGGTTTGGTGGAGGAGGAGCAGGTGGTTACTGTTAGTGATACGCCATCCTTGACAATGGGACAAGAGCGGCGGCACGCGCCGGAGGCTATCCTGAACTTTCAGTTGCGATTGGCGTGGCGCAGCCCACTGGCAGCTTTCATGGTCCGCCGGCCGGCCGAGAGCGAGCGCGCCGGCCGGGGCGGCGCTTGTCCCTTATTTACAACTGAATCCTGACCGATACCGCAGGCCGAGTAATACCCCGGCCAGCGCGCGCGCTCGCAGGGCATCCGGCAGACTATGAAAGCAGCTACTGGGATCTTAAGATGGCATTATATACCACTCACTGTCAGTGGAGCGAATGATTTGCATTGGCCCGCGTTATCTTCTCTCCAGGCTGACTGCCGTGGACCAGGCGCCAATTGTGTGCCCCCCTGACAACTGCGACAGCTATCAAGAATCGCGAGCTGACGCGACACGTGCGACGGCTGTGGCGTGACCTATTTTAGACGGACGCGCGGAACGAAACACACCCGGTGGTTCCTTGTTAAATAGTTTTCCTGCGACGGCAACTGGCTGGAATCCTGTTTACTAGTGCTCGGGCCACATTTTAGGCTGTGTGTTTGAATCCGTGCTGCTCTAATTTCACGAAAAGCAATATCCCGTGTTGCTGCAATCATATTCCACCAAATAAATGAACCCATTACACTTTTCTCATAAAAAGAAGATGAAACATTTATGCTGCTCAATATATGTGACCGTACTGACAATGAGAGGAGGGCTCTGAGCCGGATCCACACAATGCATCCGATTCAGAAAAACTGCCAGCCGGAGCTCAAGAACCACATAGGCGTGGATTCAGCATTTCTTAACGACACATCTCATGTTATTTTTGGGGTGTCTATTAGCTGAATAATGGAAAAGTTAAACCAGAATTATGCAAAATTAGTGGAGTAAATGCGAAAAACGGCTATTTAGTAGAGGGGTTCGACGAGAATAAGACGATAAAAGTTGTCTTTGTAGGAGAATTTGAGCAAACTGTCTAGTGTTTAAAAACTCATTCGTCTTCTGATGTATACGTTGACTAACGCCGGTTACCCTATATCTAGGTCGATTTCCGACCCGATAGCGTCCATTGTTCTATCATTGGGGATCGTAGGCTCATCCTAGGGAGAACTCTTAGAAATTATTTTTATCGTGAGCTGTGCCTTCGAATCAACGTTCAGATTCTCTTGCATTCTTGTGAACAGTAACGAAGGACAGACTCGACTTCTGGTTCGTTCCTGATATTACTGCAAACTTCATGCAACGTGCAGAGCTGAATTTATTATCCCGAAGTCTTTAGGGGTATCAGCACACGCTCCGAAGCAAAAGCGAACTTGATCAAATTCACCGCCTTGTAACTCTTTGACGAAGTACACTTTTGACCACAGGAACCGACACCACTGTGAATCCATGTATGATTGTTAGCCACAAAATCTTTCATGTAAGGACGTTGCCCAACTTTGGTTTTTTTTTAATTTCGTTCGTCCCATTGTTCTCATCATTTCTTCAGGTTGTACTAAAAAATTGAGGAACATTGCTTCGCATTCATTTATTTGGATAGACACACAACTCGTTGATGAGTTTCTAGACGCGTTTGTAGAATCGCTTACCAATAACACCATTAGCTTCCATTTTCTGAAAAAAAAATTCTATTTTTTGGTGTTCAAAAGCGAACTTGATCAAATTCACCGCCTAGATCAAGATCGGTACAAGGCAAAAGTATAAGAGAAGTGTTTGTCCGAATAAATATGGATGGAGAAGCTCCAAAGACAAGTCAAAACCTCACACTCTTAACCGAACATCGGAGATGTAGTTAGTGCGAACAGGAATCAGTAGACAACGCTCCCATTCACTGCTCAAGAAGAGCATGTAGCACGAAATCTCTTTCAACCCAATTCCCAAACAGTCACAAAGGCCTCTCAAATCTGATTATCTGATGTTTATTAGCGAAACCAGTTCTACTTTTTTTGTTCATTACAAAGGAAGAGTGGGATAAGTCTGCTGGTATCTCGAAAAATTCTCAGGAATTACGGGCTTTGGAGAACTATAGTGCCCTCGAACTACCCTCCACTTCTCATCATCCAGCCTATTACTCCACTGTAACAAAGGATTATGAGGAACACCGACAGATGACTAATCATGTTGTAGAGCAATCGCGAGTGTTCTAGTTGTTCGTGCATTACAAATGAACATCAACAATCTCTTGTTATTCTCGTATGAAAAACAACTATCGAAAAATTGCCAATCGACCTTGACAAGCTGGAATAAAGTTTCTGATCTTCTTGTGAACGCGCCTTCCTTCTATCTAGAGAGTGCAAGCGGAGCTTAGGTCATAGACGACCATCATCTCATGGGTACAATGCTGCATTCCGAGGTAGAACATATAACTTGCGAGGAACACCCATGACAGGTTGACCCACCGAGCAAAATTCCTAAATCTCTCATGCCGAATGTTTTCGATCACAAAAACCAACCACGAGGAGATATTCCTTCCCATCTTTTGTGATGAAGGAGTACTCATATGTTTCATCTTTAGCTTCTCCTTCTTCGATGGGATGGTGCTTCTCAAACATGACGTCTCCTGCTAGATCGAACACAATCTGAAACAGCAATCCATCAATTTAGTATACTATCATATTGTGTCGATCCAACTCCGATCGCGCTGCTGCCGTCAGCTGCCATTCCACTAACCGTTTGGCAAAATCGGATCAATACAGAGCAACGTAATAAACAATGAATATCAGAAGACTTCACGAGACGAACTTTATGCTTTGTGGAGTCGAGTCCTTCACCAACGAACTCCTTTCCGAGTTCGACATTGTCATAAAACACATTCTTCTTAGAAGTCAAATTAGCATAGTCGAACTTGCCACGCTTATCACTCTTTTTGAATTCCTTCTTGAATGTAGCGAAAGTCACGAGTTTACGTGTAAACCAGCCGTAACCTGAAGAAGGGGTTTTTAGGAAGACCAACGTCATAACAAGAAGAGCAGTACCTTTAGCTTCCAAATACTCGTCAAAATTCTCCGAGTGGTCCAAATCGAACTTGCCATAAAACTTTTCTGGAAGCTCTTTCGCATTCACTGCGAAAGGTGCACCGAGAACGAATAAAAGGAAAACAAGACCGTTCATTACGGAGGTTAGCACGCAACTGACATCGCCCACCCCATTAAACATCCATAAGCCAGCAGTTGGCGGGAAATCATCGTTTGACCCGGTGCAGGTCAATCTTAGAAATCAATCTAGGCTTTTTACTCACTGCGAGTTTAGATGGAAAGAACTTTCATGTAGTCTATGCAGTTGATATATCATGCTCCCTGTCCAGATTTTACAAGAAAACATTAATATTCAGGCAGAACACATGACATCTTAAATTCCTATGAAACTGAGGTAACTACGAATACCGAAATTGCAGCTAAATGATGGGATGAACTTGTAATACAGATCCCCCTCCTTCAGACCTGATCTCTGGTACCAAATAGCAATCGAAAATGAGCTGCTTAGTTGACAATGAACCTCTGCTCAGAAAGGTGAAATAAAGTCGTGACGTTCTACGTTCGATTATCCAAGCCAGTGGAAGGCGTTATCCAGCCTTTTAGTATCAGCCTTTCAAGATGTTTATATCTAACTGTAAGCAGTGACCCGGGTGAAAAGATAGTCAGGGGGGGGGGGGGGGGGAAGGGAGGGGTACAGCGCTCTTTCGAATCACTGAGGATGAAAGTGCAGAGAAGAAAGTGTAACCGACTCCAATAGCACATAATGGTACTTAGGAACGCGTTTCAAAGTCTTTTAATATTACAAATGTGTTTTTTCTACCTAAACCTGAGAAGGGAAGGAGCTTCGCGATGGGTGAGACAGTTGGATGATCAATTCTTATCCCATGTCACAAGGGGAGGATCCCAAGTTGAAGTGGACATTTGAAATCGAATTGGGTGCTGATTTCAAATCTGCTTTCCGAATTTGCCAAACTATTCTCTGAAGCGGAATTATGAACTTTGTTACAGATGAGTGCTTAACTCAAAAACCACTTAAGACATTGAAACAAGAGCGCTTAGCGATTAGATTCGAGAGGGGGACGGGCGTTTTGTGCAATTCTGGGTGCGCGCGGCGAAATTCGCGATGATTCAAACAACTCTGGCGCCTATTATTGGGGCACAAACTTGAAGTAGAGTACTTTAGTAGGGTCGTACAATCCTACTAACCTACTTTACTTCAAATTTGGGCCCCAATGATAAAGTAAACGCTGCAGTCGTCCAAATAGCACCGAATTCCGCCGCGCACTTTGCCGCGCGCACCCAGCTCGCACGAATCGCCAGACACCCGATTTGAGAGAGTGGTTTGGAGCAAGGATAGGCGTGACGCCTCATATTCATGAGACCATAGAGCGGTTTTAGTTTTAGTTTTGATGTATGTGGTTTTTGCAATTTGGGGGCGTTTTGCTCGAGAACGGAACAACTTTTGTATGCTGATTTTACCACTGTCACCGGCCTCTTTGATGTCTGAGGTGGTTCGGTTCCTATCGAAATCATCCAATATAGCCCTCAGTTTTTTTCTTTGCGCTTCCTATTCTACATTCACATTGTGTCCTAATAGCGTATCAAACCGAACGGAAGACAGTACCTTACAGGCGTCTCCAGATCACCTGAATGAAAGCTTAAGAAACCAGCGGCATGTGAGAGCAAAAGAGAATTGAAGGTAGACAAGGGACGGAATTTATTTATTTATTTATTTATTGGGCTATTGTTAAAAGAGACATACAACGGTAAGGTTCGGATTAGCGTCAGAGATACAATAGAATAAAATATCATACCCTATTTACATGAAAGGTAAAAAGGAAAACAGAAAAACGGAAAAAGAAACAAGTGGGGGGAGGGGGGGTGGAAGGGAGAGGAGCAATTGGGCCGCCCAAAAGAGGAAGGGCAGTGGCCGGCCAACATTGCAAGCCGAATGGAGGGGTTGTAGGGGTTGCGGCTGCGTTTGCAAGTTTACAGTTTTAAATATTACAATAGCAGGTTTGATTAAGGGGCATATCGAGTGATTTCACATAGAAGCCTCTGCTTATTTGTTTATTTATCTAGATCTATTATTACTTATTTTCATCTATTTAATAGTTCATCTCCCTTCATGCCTAGAACCCTCAAATCAAANGGGGGGGGGGGGGAGAAATTTACAATAGCAATGGAAAAATAAATGAGTAAAAGAATAGGCAAAACAAATGCATTAAATAGAATTGTACAGCGCTTAGAGTAGAAACTACAAGAAGAAAAAACGCGAGAATTAAAGAAAGTAAAGTAGGAAAACATCGCCAAGGAAGAATAAAGTGTCGAAGGAAAGGCAAGAATACGAGAAAAAAGGAATCGAGCAAAAAGGTTACAAATTTGCCGTTAAAAAAAAGGCGCTGAAGAACAACAGAAAATAAAACGCTGTAATTAACTGATTAAGGAAGTAGAAGAATCTAATGCTGGCGTAAACCTTGCAACTATAAAGTTTCCCTGCCCTGCTTCCACAGTTGAAGTTATTACCTCATTCTGTCAACAGGAGTTAGAAACAACCTTCCAATTACAAGCTACGGCGACCATCCATGCTGTGGCAGAAAATAGCACTGAACACCCGGTATATCCTGAATTACTCCGATTGCTTGAGAAGCTTAGAAAGATGAACCTGAAGTAGGGATGACTTTCTCCATCTGAAATAATCTGTTCCTAGCTTGTTCCAAAGTTGTGCTGCCCTAACAGGGAAGGCACCTTCGAATGAACGAGTGTTTGCTCTATACGGCCGCACTCGATACGGATGTCCTCTTGATTGCCCTAAAGTAGCCGACATTTGGAACATGTCGTCTAAATTCAAATCAATCTCATCAGTGATTAACTAAGCCAAAATCAATCAGTTTACGTCGGTATTCTAGCGATTCAGCGCCAAGCAATTTAAGCCGCTCTTGATAAGTAAGGGAGGTCATTCCCTTCCGCACAGAACAGCGATAAGTAAAACTTTTTTGCACTTTCTCGAGTGTGTCAATCAGTGACTGCCTATATGGTGACCAAATAGGTGAACAATACCCAACAATTGGCCGTACATAGAGATTGAACAAGCGGAGAAGAAATGAGGGGTCACGAGTTTTGAAGGATCTCAGGATAAAGTTTGACCTTGCACTAGCTCTATCAGCAATGTCATGTATGAAGCTCTCAAAGTCGAGGCTATCGCTGTACACGATGCCCAGATCTCGAACTAGCTTAACACGCATGAGCTGGTTTCCACACATTGAAAACGTGAAGTCAGGATGGTTCTTACCTATTCCCATTATAGCAGTTTTCCGTATAGATATTTTCAAATCCCTTTTCAGACCAGCGCTCAACACAGTTAATAGCTGCCTGGAGTTTATTGCAATCGTTAATAGTGAATATTTTAGAGTCGTCAGCGTATAAACAGCAAAACACTCCCGGGGAGATGGAGTCGACTAGGTCGTTCACGTATATAACAAACATCAAAGGCCCAATGCAGGTGCCCTGAGGTACACCGCTAGGGGTGGGATAGTAGTGTGAGCGTGAGTGATTTATAAGTACCGATTGAACCCTTCCACTGAGGAAGGATTTTAAGAAGCACAGAAGACAACCCTTGATGCCATACGCCTCTCGTTTCCTGATTAAAAGTGGGATAGAGATGGAGTCAAAGGCTTTTGCGTAGTCCACGTAGCAGACCGAAACAAAGTTACCTTTGTCGACTTCTCTATGCCACAAGGGAATAGTCGATAGCAAGGCAGACAATGTGGATTTGTTCTTACAGAAGCCGTGTTGATTATTGTGCAACAACTTGTTCTCTATAAGGAAATCACTTATTCTTCTGCATATTAAACGTTCCATGACCTTGCTTATAGAACTAGTCACGCAGATCGGCCTGTAATTGGCAACATCGCTTTTACAACCTTTTTTGAGAACCGGTTTGACAAGTCAAACTTTCCATAAATTAGGAACGTCACCATGAAGCGAAATCCTGTTGAATAATATTGTCAGAGGAGCAGTGAGCCCAAGAGCAGCTTTTCTAAAAAATATGTACGGGATTTGATCAGGAGAAGTGGATACCCTGTTAGGTAGACGTCGTAGTACGCTGTAAACAGTGTCACTGGAAACGTCAACCCAATCTAGAGAATCCGAAGTTAATGAAGGGAGAGTAGCGTTAGATTCACGAGGTTCTTTATAAACGGACTGAAAATAGTTAGCGAAGAGATTAAAAAGTTTAAAGGATAAAGTTTGGCGTTAATCTTACGTCTGAGGGATGCGCCCCCGCACTCGACTTCCATTCAGAATCGTAGTGGCGTAATGAGTGCGCATGTGGCCTATACAATGACTTGCGGTGGCCAGCCGATGTACAAGTCAGTGCTTTTATCCTCCCAGACGAGTCTGGTACCAATTCACCGACCTCGGAGGGATGGAAGGCTTGGTTGGCCTAGGCGGGCATGGATCCGGGATTCGAACCCCTGACCGTGCATGTGATATAGTGCGCCACTTGCCACTANATGCGCCCCCGCACTCGACTTCCATTCAGAATCGTAGTGGCGTAATGAGTGCGCATGTGGCCTATACAATGACTTGCGGTGGCCAGCCGATGTACAAGTCAGTGCTTTTATCCTCCCAGACGAGTCTGGTACCAATTCACCGACCCCGGAGGGATGGAAGGCTTGGTTGGCCTAGGCGGGCATGGATCCGGGATTCGAACCCCTGACCGTGCATGTGATATAGTGCGCCACTTGCCACTACACCACCTCCGCCCGAGCAAAGAGATTAGCTTTAGAAAAATCATCACCAATTGGAACTCCTTCTGATGAGACTATATTTGGAATACCATCGGCCAATTTTAGCTTTTTCCTGCAGTAGTTGAACAAAAGCTTAGTATTCTTGAGCCGTGCTAACTTCATTTCCTCCATCACCTGATGACGAAGCAGTGCACGTTTGAGTTTACGAGCGACCGTGATGGATCTCGAGCTATGCACTGATAGAGCTGAGTTGAGGTGCTTGATTTTTGCCATCAGGTAATATACGCGCTTGGGATACTTCACAGCCCTACTCCTATGTAGTTTGATGGGCACATGCTGGGCGATCAACTGGTGACATATACCTAAGAATTTGGTGAAAAACGAA